CCCTGCCTACTGCCACAAGACAGCTGGGAGAGGCTCCAGCACGCCCACGACCCTCGTGAGGACAAACAGATTGGAAAATGGATGTATGGATGTTGAACATTAGTGTAGCAGTCTCGCTACCTCAGTGAGTCCCGTAGCGCAGAAACACAGATACACTGCTTGCGCGCAGGCCTTTTATTTTATGTTCTGAGACAAAAGGCAGCACTGAAAATCACATTATATGGATATGAGGGAGCCACACTAATAATGATTTGGAGTTTGTCTTTCCAAATTAGCGATTAATGTCTTGATTCAAGTACACACAAACACACAGACAACTCACGCTGGACTTGTGTGTAGAAAACTGTTTATGATTTCAATGGAAATACGACAGATTAAACAGAAGATCGTACACTACCGTAAACTTAACTAAAAGAAGGCACATAAAAGTAACTCAGAGAAAAATGGAAAAGGTAATGAGTAATGGAGATGAATGAGAAATGGACATGTGCCTAGTGAATAATGAGGGCAATGTGTGAAGCGTACAAAGCCCAGATTATCCTTTCAAATGTAAATATGCACCAATTTGCAGCCTAGTATATTGCAAGTGTACACTTACTAAGGTTGAAGGTGGGTCACGGTCAGGCTGATGAAGAGTTCTGATAAGGAGCGGGTTGAAGATGAGGAAAAAAGGGAAAAGTAGGGAAAAAAAAAACAAACAGGTAGCAAAGTTGCGACCCTTTCTTTTTTGGAAAATGAGTGTTTTTGGTTAGCGTGAGAGTTACGACATTTCTATCATATCTTCTCAAGAGGAACACGGAAAGACATCGCTCATGAATTCAATTACCAAAAAGTGTTAAAGCACAGGTACAATTGCCCTGCTTGTCATCAATCTTGACTTCAACCAACCGCTGTCCCTACATACTATTATCCTTGCTGCAGCAACAGCTCGAGGTGCTCAACAACAGCTCAACAATTCACTGTAAACTAAAGGAGAAAAGATAGAAGAGAAAAATATGCTAGAGTGTAGGAAAGGAAAAAAAAAACCTTCAGGCAATTTAAAAAGAACTTTTCTTTGAAAGCAACTGCAACTCTAACAAAGATGCAAGGCGTTGTACCGTACATGCATACGGACTCCGAGGGCTCTGTTTTTGAGCCGGCGCAAAGTTTGCGCAGGGACACGTCAGACTAAGTCCTGAAATTTTCGTAGACCCATGCAGAATGCTGCATTCCACCAAGTGCTGTTGTCCTTCCACTGCAAGAAAATCCATCAGAATTGATGGCAGGTGGCTATTGTGAAGTGTGTCGTGGTGAGAAGTGCACTCCTGTTTCAAATTTAGTTCGTATCGCATATCGGTCAAGCCACTCATATCTCAGGGCACCAGCAGCGTTATCACATTTGGAATCTGAAGAACAAATGTGACCAAAGTTATGGTTAATGTAAAATCAGAATGGAAGTGCTGCAGTGTAGTGTAAGTAATTCCAAATCTACAGACCTTATCCTGTCAGTACAATGAGCTGACCTACGTTGTCAGTAAAAACAAGAGAATGGTCAGGGCAAAACAAATCCCTCCTGCCATATCCCCAACTGCATGTGAAATGTTTTTTTTTTTTTTTCTTCCAGTGAGTCATTTTCTCTCCATCTGTCCTCTGACCCGGTGCCTTGGGCAGAGCGCGTCAGTTTATGCAAGTTTCCCTCCCTTGTGTTAACACGGCAGCCTCCTTGTACAGCGCTTTGAGATAAATAGGCGCCATCCGAGTGCATTGCACCATCCAGAGGCTCATGTGTATGTTTGACAGTCAGTGGATTCTGTCGATATTTCCATTTCCTGAAAATGGACTGAATTACCTGACACAGCTTTGCACTGTTCTTAATATGGAAGAGATTTAAATATCAGTCTTATATTTCTAATTTCTGCTGAAAACAACAAATTCGCTGAATATTGCACAGTATTGCTAATTATTGGAGTTTCTGAGAGGAAAGGACAAAAGTGAAACGAACAAGTTACTGTGTGGTAGTTACGTACGCCGCTAACCACCTTGAAAAATAGCCCAGTGTTTGCATGTGTTTGTCTTTGTGAGTGTTTTTATCCAACAAGGCATTGACCGTATCATTTAAAAGCAACAACGCCGGGTTTCCTTGGACTTAGTCCAAATGAGCTGTTCCAAATTCAAATAGGCTGCGGCTGCACACCGGTCTACTGGCTAGCACGTCCGCCTCACAGTGCAGAGGTGCAAGGTTCGATTCCGGCCCCGGCTTGCCTGTGTGGGTTTTCTCCGAGTACTCCGATTTCCTTCCACATTCCAAAAACATGCGCAGCTTGATGGAACACTCTAAATTGTCCGTTAGGTGTGAGTGTGACCACAAATGGTTGGTGGTCTGTCTATATGTGCGCTGCGACTGGCTGTCAACCAGTTCAGGGTGCACCCCGCCTACTGCCCAAAGATGGCTGGGATGGCCTCCAGCACATCCGCAACCCTCGTGACGATGAAGCGAATTAGAAAACGGCTAGATGGAAAATAGTCTCTGCTTGCTTCCTGACAGCATTTAGTGTCGGTGTGTGAATTTTGACTCACAGAAGTACACAAGTACAAAAGAGCATGTTCCACAGTGTCAGGAAGCTTTTATTCAATGCGGACTTCATTCTCTTGAGAAGCGTTTCTAAAACGTTGGTTCCTCCAATCAAATAAATGCCGAAGGCCTCGTTCCTAAAATATAATGAGTAGCTTGTGTTAGGAAACGGAATGTTGCTTCTTAACCCTCTGCCAAAGAGGCTTCATTCTCCAGTTGTGGTCGTGGCTCCCATGTGAGGAAAGTAATCGGATCAGTACAAGGCGCAGAACGCCTGAAGCGCCATGAGAAATGGGCACGTTTGAGGCCACTGAATCTAATCAATGAGATAATCAATAGGTGGGGGCTGAAGGAAGGGTATTACTTAGGACTGGCGGAAACACCACTCGCTCATCTTGATTAAAGGCCACTCTTGGTGGGTCACCACTTGGCTGTTGTGCTCTGGGCTGACACCAGAATTCAGGGTCAATTATGAATCTGTTTAATTACTGCGGTATTATCTCTGTGGTCTCAACGGTCCACATGCGGATATTGGAATGCGTTGAGGTTTATGAATGACTCCGGGAGATATTGATCTCTAGTCCCACGTGAAGTTTATTTGACGCAAGGGCACTAAATGCATTCAACTTGAACCCGTGGCATTGCATAGAAAGCACGGCTCTATAGCAGCTCAGGGTAAGTTGCGACAGCAGCCAAATAAATAACATAATACGGATTAGACACGCTGAAACTGACTTACAGGGGTTCTCGTGAAGCTGTGCTTTTAGTACGGCTCCAGGCTACATTTTGTGTTGCCACAATTTAGTGTTGTAATTAAATGTCGCTTTTCAGGCATGTTTGCGTTTTAACAAGCACAATGGTGCCACTCGTTTGTGTTAAACAATTGCTTTGTGCGTGAGCAGCCTGCGCTAAAGAACAGGGGCTGGTTCATAAATATTCCTTTTTATAGAACACAGCCGTACCCCCAGACTTGATGTGCTGTGGTATTAAATGTAGAGCAGCACCCGGATGTATAACATTGCCATGCAATTCCTTTCTCAGTTTCAGGATTTGCCTCAAATGAGTAAAAATTGGTCGACATTTTTACAGAGTCAGACTTTTTTTTTTCCCTCTAACTGATCTGTATTTAAGCATTTTAGATTACACTACAGAGTGGCCACTAGAGTGGGAGTAAATCTTCAGAAAAGATTAAAACTTCTTCACTCAGAGCCCCCTACGCTCATTGTGTAAAATGCAGCTGAGTAACTAAGTTCTCATTGAATAAAAGTCGATTGTAATTGTTTGGAGTACAACTAACTCATCCACTACTTTGAGTACAATCTACTTTACTGTCTTCCAAGTGTAAGTTTTACTCGGTTTATACTTGGACCAAACTGACTTGGCCTTTCTCAGTATATAATTTTCTTCGATTAGAGTACTTAATGTGTTAGCAAAAAGTAGGCCCCGGCACTAAATGCAAAACAGCAATTGAATTATTATGAGGAAGTGGCCCCAACTTAAACTGCAAAAGCCACTGAGACCAACAAAAATGCCGAGATGGCAGGATGGGGTTTCCCCTACAGGAAGTGCTGCATCTGGTCTCATCCACATGCAGGCGTTCGGGGAGCATATCCCAGCAACTATGGAGTGCCTACTGGGCCATAACAGAGTTGTAGTGTTGTACGCTCAGCATGTAAAACAGACAACCTCATTCTGCTATTTATCCCAAATGTATTGCTCTATTCGATGGTCTTTTGGATTGGGCACAGTCACACAATTTAAAAAAATAAGAAAAATGCTGCGTGATTTTTAATCAAATCCTATAGTTCCATTTTAATACAATGCAGAATAATAATTGCAAAACAGAGGCTTGTTTTTTTTTATATTTCTGTGAATTATAGATTTTAAAGAAATATTGTTTTGTTTCTTAGTTATCAAAAATGCCACGTTTTCTTTTGAAAACCAAATAACATTTAAATGTAATCTAAAGGTATAACAAAGATTAAAAAAAAAAAAAAAAAAAAGCTGAAACCCGATGAAAATTCCGAAAATCACAACATTGTTTTACTCAACCTCAACCACACTTTATTTAACAAAATAGAAGCAGGTCAAATATTGCAAAGCATAAAAATGTAGTTTGAAACACAGCGTTTGAAAATGATAAACCATCACGTGGGCTGAAGCACACAGTAGACAGCGACCCCCAGGTAGCCCCTGGGGTTGGACAGAAGAGCAAAACTGGGAGTTGAAGAGGATGCGATGCCTTGATGAGTCACAGGTTCACTGCGTCCTTACTACCAGAGGTCAAGCAGGGTGGAAATGTAAAAGCAAATCCACAGCTCGGTGAAAAAATGTTTGGGGCCTCCAGAACAGCCATTGCAAATGATTCACAACATTTGCATCCGCAAATCATTCATTATTCTTTTTTCCCGGGCCTCTACATGAAATTCTCTTTTTCCTATTATTTCTCACGTGTGAAAGATAATAGTTATGGGTGCATGAATGCAAATGTTCACACGTCTCTTCTGCCGAGGGAACAAACAAAAGAAGTGATTCAGCACCGTGGACAGCGCTCAACTGTTTCCCGGGGGAGACACGTTGGCCTTCTGGCTTGGGCTGACGTGCCATCTCACTGCAGCTCTTTATCCTAAACGTGAATACCTTGACAATCTCATCCAAGCTTAATTTAATTGCGAGGTGTCACTATTTGGGACCCTTCAGAGAAAATGAATTGGTGGTGTCAACACGAGTTACAAGGCGTTTACATTGCGCTAAAACACAGAAAAGGGCACCTGCGCATTTGTGACGGACGGCACATCATAATGTGTGGCTGTCTTCATTTCTTTTTTTGTTTTTTTTTTGAAAGCGGCATTTAATGTTCACACCCTCCGTTAAAGCAGACCTGCATGGTGTAAAAGGCAACCTGCATCAGTCGTTGCCATGTTTGTGCAGGCCTAAAAGCACCACCTCTATATGATGACAGGACACATTCCACAAAAGCAAGAATCCTCCCCCAGTATAGAATACTTCAAGCACAATTATTTTGTACAAGGTTATATAGCTATAAACAAAAAAGTCCACAGTAAAGGCGAATCATAATCATACTTTTTTTTTTTTTAAATGTGTGTGGAGGAATATGCATTTTTTTTCACAAGACAAAGCAATCTATGCTATATTCACCTGCAATTCTCAAATAGACCGAATCATTCTAGCTCATTTGAAAACTTGGCTAATTTTTATGAAAAAATATGATGGTACAAACCCCCCATTTAAATGACTTGATTTTTTTTTTTTTGTTTTTAATTTCCTCTCACCCAAAGCAGGCTATGTTCATAGACACACACAAAACCACAGAACTGTTATTTGAGCTACATCATCTTTGCGGCAGAAGCATCCTTGTGACGTCATGCTCGTCCGCATGTCGCCACGGAGTCAACAATTGGCACGGCATTAAAAATAACACAGTATACATTCAGAAAATAGGATGACCTCGCAGACGTGCGTGTGGTTGGGTCGGGGCTGGGGGCCTGCACCCGCACCATCTGCAATGGTATAAATAACCTCAATATTCATCGACAATCAAATCATAAGGAACAGAATAAAGGAACATGCACTGACAGCATTATGTCCTTTCTGATACTAATCTTGTTTACCCTCTTGCCTCTCCAAACAGGTTTAAAACAACAAATCAAATCCTAACTGCAGTTTCACAAAAATAGAGAAATGGCACTTTGTTATAGTCATATATATGTAACTCTCATAATATCTCTATATATAGTCGTCATATTGATGGAGAATGAACGGGTGGGAGGGGGGGTCGCCTCCTCTCCAGTGGTCATGGTTCCTCGGTCGCGCGCCATGTGTGCGTGTGTTGAAACCATGCAGAAATCTCATGCATATGATACATCGGCCCGACTATTTACATTTACATTCATGCGCTCGTGCACCGTTCCCTCGCGCACACACATCCCGATTTTATCGCATGACCCCTCTCTGCCGGAAAAAAAAAAAAAAAAAACAAAAAAAAAACAACATATGTCGTCCGATTGCGGCTAATAGCACAGGTGGAGGGAGTAGTGTTTCGGGGGGCGGGGTAGGACTGAGGGATTGTCATGTACAGAATATACACTGCCGGGGCCCTGTGCAGCAGACTAACTGGTTGACGTTGACTAAAACGAGACACAGCCGACCGAGGCCGTCCGCCTCTTACACGGGGACAAATGTGTTGTTTGGGTTGTGTATGCACGCCAGTCTGCGCGTCCTTTGTCAATCCAATCTGGCCTGCCTTCTTTTTACGCATCGTTTGTCGTGGAGAGATGCGTGGTGCAGTCAAAGCCCCGCTGAGCCCCCGCGTCTGCGTGGTAGGGACCACTGTGCCAATACGATGAGTCGCACACTGTCTGCAGGGAGTTGATCTCGGAGGCAGACGAGTTGCCGTCCCGCCGCTTGGACCGCTTGCGGTTCCGCAGGATGAAGACGAGCATGCCAACAACAGTGAACGCGGACGTGACAAACACCAGCAGCAAGCCGGGGACGAGCACGGAAATGGAGACCCGGTTGGGCTCAATATAAGAGTTTGAGCGCGTGCCCGAGTCGAGCGTGAAGGTGCTGTTTTTGGACAGGGAGGTGGGAGGGGGGATCCGCTCATAGAGTCTGGGACACATGAGGTCATTCCGCACGTAGCGGAAGTCGCGTTTCCAGAACTCTTCCGGCGACTCGCACTTGAGATCGCTCACGATGACGTCAGCTCCAAGTTTCTCGGTCCACTGCTTGAAGGGCACGATGTTGCAGGAGCAATCCCACGGATTCCCGTGCAAATCAATCTGAATGATGGAGTTGAGCTGGTCCAACACGCCCGCTACAGGCAGATAGGAGAAGTAATTGTTGTGCAGGCTTATTTTGGACAACGAAATCCCAAGGAACGCATCCAGGGGTAACGACTTGAGCAAGTTGTTGTTGAGAAAGAGAACCCGCAGGTTCGGCATGGGGCTGAACGCGCCCGCCGCTATCAGCTGGATGTCGTTGTATTCCAAACTGAGGTATTCCAGGTTGACGAGGCCGGCAAACATTTCCGCCATGAGCGTATCCAGATAATTCTTATCCATGTACAGCCACCTCAGCTCAGTCTGGTTCTGGAAAGTGCCGTTGTCGATCGCTTTGATGTTGTTCCCGCCGAGATCGAGCAGGTTGAGGCTGGCGTAGCCCAGCAGCTGAGTCTTTTTCACCGCGTGGATGTTGTTGTCTCGCATGTTCAGCTCGTGGGCGGCCAGCGGCCTCGGCTTCAGGTTGGACAAGCTCTCGATCTTTTTTCCCTCGCAGTTGACCCCCAGCCCCTGTCTCGAGCCCACCAGCTTGCAGTTGCACGGCTGCGGGCAGGTGGCGTTGCGAAGCTGCTCTTTGGCCTCGCTCGCACCTGTCGGCCCCGGTGTGGGTTTGGTCTTAAGCTGCCAGTTCTCACGAGACTTGGAACGGCTCTTGGCTCCGTGACCGCCAGGCGTCGGCGGCCCGCTGGCATCCGCGCTGGGCTTGTAAGGCGTCGGACGTGGGCCGCCGCCGTGTGCCACAGGGCCTGAGGTCTCATCCTGCGTGGGAGGGGCCACCAGGCTGGTGTCTGCTCCGCCTCTCTGTGAAGGGCACAGTTCCTCTTCAGACGTCTCGTTCAGGTCGCTCCCTTGCAGCCTGGTGGGAGCCTCGCAGATCACTCTCCCGATGAGCGCGTTGGGCGGGATGTTCTCCAGCCATTCTTTGAGGGAAACCAGGTCACAGTTACAGTCCCAGGGGTTGTCTTCGAGCAGAACCTCCACAATGCCCGGAATCTGCTCAAGGATCCCTTCGTAAGGCAACGTTTTGATTCTGTTCCCCCGTAGGTCAAGATGCGTAATGGGCACGTGTTGAAACACGTTTATGGGTAGCGCGCTGATGAGGTTGTCATTAAGTATTAACACTTCAAGTTTGTTCAGGTCCCTGAACACGGCTGGGTCAATGTCCCTTAAGAGATTAAAATCAGCTTGCAGGTATTCCAAGTCATCCAGGCCCAAAAAGGTACTCTTCCTGAAGGAGCGGATCTTGTTGTTGTTAATGTGCAGTCTTTTGACCAGCTGCAGCCCCAAAAAGGCGCCCGGGACTATGTCGTGCAGCCCGTTGTTCTCCAAATGCAAGCTGACTGCATTGTAAAAGTTGGCGAACTCGTTGGGGAAGAGCCTGGACAGCGAGTTGCCGTGCAGCAGCAAGTGGTAAAAATGCGAGCTGGGCCCGGTGAGGTGCTGCAGCGTGGTGAAGCTCCTTTTTTCGCAGCCGATATGCACGTCTCCCTCGACCTCTGTGCACGAGCATATCTGCTCCTGACACACGTCCCTTGTCACGTTCCCACTGGCAACACAAAGAGCCGCGTTCAGCAGGACAACCCAAAGCAGCATTTTTCAATGCGGACAAGACATCCCCCGTCTCAAGACATAGGAGCTGTTGATCGGGTCAAAAACAATCCAAAGGAAAGCAGAGGGGAGACGCGGGTGGGTACGGCAGTCTCGGTAAAAAACATCTGACCTGCTCGTCAGCTCACACTTTGGAACAGAAACCTCCTCACAGTCTCAGCGGGTCAATTGGGCGAAAAACAAGAGGAACTAATGTCCAGCGCATCCTTTTTACAGCTGAAACGACTGACCTTGGCGGAAAAATTCGGAACAAATGGTCGCCTTCTTCTCTCGCTGGCGCGCTGCGGCGCGGGGAGCTGTCCCCTCTCCCCTGGTGCCGAGGCTTGACTGGAAAGCACCCGCATTCCCCCCTCACATCTCTCGCCTGCGTCTCACCCCGTTCATTCCTCTTCTTCGTGCGTCGAACGGCACCGCACCAAAAGGAGCACACAAATTGTGCATCCAGCGCGGAGCTGTGGACGAAAGACGGGATATACTCCACTCAGCTGCGCTGGCGAATGGGGCGAGAGAAAAAAAAAAACGGCGGCGCAAAAATGGATTAGAAGTCTCGAAAAAGATGTGTGCGCGTCGACGATTGCGCCAAAGTTGCGCCAATTCAGCGTGCTACCAGCCGCCGACTCACTCCTCCAGCTTGCAGCACCGCTGCAAAAGTGTCCAAGTCGGCGCAGCAGTGGCGCGATGACACGTACAGGTCGTGATGCCTCACTTGCATCCCGAATTCCACACCCATTATTTAAGGAACCACCCAGCAGTGCAATCGTTGCTCTCGATGTTTTTTAACGAACACTGTCGAATGCGGTAAAACTAATTCATCCGCCACGGGCATGCCTCAGCTCTACAAGAGTATCAAACGATGCGTCAGCCTGTATGCGCATGTGTGCATGACGTGTTCCTTGCTAAGATGCTTTGCAGAGAGGGACCCACGAGGATGAGAAACAAAGGGACGTGAGATGAGCAAAGATTTATATTTGCCGTTTGTTTGTATTGTACTCGATTTTTTTTTTTTTGTAGTTTTTTTCATATGCGTGGAAGTTCCATACAAGTGAAGCTTCAGTCTGCATTTCCCACTTTGTGGCAACAACCATAAATGTTCTATCACGTCTGTGGGAAGCAGCACATACTGTATGTTCAATAAACCTTGCCAGGCTGTGAACATCCGCAGTCACCTAATGGCGCCCTATGCATGATGTGCTTTAACTGTCTACATCAGTGTTACACGTTGCCCTCCCATGCCACACAGGCAGACAAACACACACACACACACACACACACACACACACACACACACACACACACACACACACACACACACACACAAACACACACACACACGCGCAACTGTCTACATCAGTGTTACACGTTGCCCTCCCATGCCACACAGGCAGACAAACACACACACACACACACACACACACACACACACACACACACACACACACACACACACACACACACACACAGGCGCGCTCGCGCAAGGTTAGAAATTGTCTGCCTTCTGGCGACCGCTGACCAGTCAGTTACTGTGTCTCGTGGTTGCACACTCTTTCAGTGTCCAAACATTTTGATTCAAGAATAATCCCCAAAATAGGATAAAATGGTATTTCTAGCGGGATATCCTAATCTTGAGAGTCAAACTTAATTGGATTGTGAATACAAAATGCATTATCCAAAGGAATGGAGCATGGAGCTCAGCATGATGATGTGATACAGATAATGTCGCATTGCATTAGTGTGACTGGGGACCAGAGGAGCTCATACTCATGACACATAACTTCATCGTCTAGCAAGACAACAAATTATTTCCTGAGGATGTGAATGGGACTCACGAGAGTTTATCCAACACTAAACATTTAGGTTATAGCAAGTTAAAAGGAAAATCTGATGATCGGTTTTAAATTGGTTGTGTAGATAGATTAGCAGCGAAATCCTCAGTTGAATATGAACGGAAAATATTTATTTACAGTATATCGAATGAAGGCGTGCTCTCCCTGTTGATTCAAATGATAAGCTCATCAGCAAGCTCTGCGAAAGCCTGATATTGAACCTGTTCATTTGAATCAGGTGTGTTGCAACTGGGAAAGATGGAAAACATGCAGGCCTTTCAAGACTCACCCCTGGCTTATCCTCAGGAGGGTCACGGGAAGGAAGTCTGGGCTTCCCTGCTAAAGCTGTTGGCCCCGCGACCCGACCCCCGGATAAGCGGTAGAAAATGGATGCATGGATGGATGATTTTTTTTGCTGTTGTTAGTATGTGTTCATATCGTTTTCAAACGTTTTCAAAACTAAGATGTATTTCAAATTTTTGGGTTGTATTATTTGGTTCGATGTGAGGGACACATTTCTAATATTTCAGCATGAAAGATCCCTTCTTAATATTTTTAATGAGCAGACTATCCAGTCAGGTTCATGCGATTGACGGAACACATTGATCTAAATTAAAATTATATCAACTGTGTTCACTAAATTAAAAATTAGTGAACGAATCCTATAAGATGCTGGATAGGAGTCTTGCCCTTGGCAGTTTAATGCGCCATTGAGATTCATCCAGAGCCCCTTCAAAAAAGGGAGTTTTGGAGCCAGTAGAATACTTTCTGGGTAATTATAGAAAGGTCAGGAGCCATGTTCAGCTTGTTTTCACATGAGCATCGAGTGCGACTGAGTGTGTGCAAGCAGCATTCAAGATAAGGCCCATTGGTTGAGAGTTCCCCATGAGTCATTCTTTGATCGTAAATAAGGTCTAATCAGCCAGATCATAGGATGTGGAGGGCAATTATGAAGTCCATTGAAACCTCAGCACAACTCCAGGTTGGTGATATAAAAAAAAGCAAACCCCGAAACATTGACTATTTGACCAAAAAAAAAGTGCTTATAAAGGGCATGCAAGCACCTTATTTCAATTATGGACATAAGGTTCATACCAATATGTGATGTACAAAAAAAGAGGGGTCAAGTTTGAACCGAGAGTCAATAGGACAACTGGCAAAAGCACAGCCTGTGTGATATTGAGCGGCAAGCCTGTATGAGGACTCAGCAGAACGTCTGACTGCAAATCTATACACAGCTATCAACAAGCCTTCTCCACCCACCACAATAATCTCGACACATGTCCCCGATGACCTGCCGAAGCAGCCCGAGAGGCCGCTGGGGCGGGATCACTTACTACCATCTGAGCTAGCAAAGGGACTGAACTGAGCAGGAGGTCATTCACAGCACTGAAGTTTTCTTAATGGGGTACATGCTGAACAGAAAAAGTGAGCAAACGAAAAAGAAGGAAAAAAAAAAAATCACTTCGGATGACATCTCATTCGCCCAACAAAGTTGACCCTTTAAGTTTAGATCGCTTACAATGTTTAAAATACATATTATACAAATCTATGAACGTTTGTATCCAAGAGCTCAGTTTAATCTTATTTGTTGTCCTTTGCTTTACCCAGCGTGAAACCCTTTAATGGTTGGTTGGCCAACCTCTGTCCTGGCGTACTTCATCTCACCTCAAAAGTAGTATGGTGCATGCCTTTTCTATTTGAAATTCAATTGATTTTGAGGAGTCTTATGTTTTAAACTGCAGCAATTAATCCGTGTTACCATGGCAGCTGGTTCATCTCTGCTAAATCAGACAGAGCTGGTGAAACACTCTCATCGCACAGCAGTTGGCCCTGATACCACATGAGAAACAATAATGTTGAGCGTCACCCCTCTAATTGATGGACACATGGACCAGGGGTTTCATGCCCCATGATTCATTCGAACCTCTTACAGTACAACTTCACACACTAGAAGCTCTATTGTCATAGACAGGTGCATGTAAAAACCATCACATCTTCATTTATGTGCAGGGGCAAGTCGAGTTGAGCATATTTGTGACTTTGACAGATCGTGATGCACGTTTCTGGGTGCAAAGCAGGGCATTTTCTACAACATGCCTCCAGCGCACCTGACAATTTGGTGACAGAATGTAGACTACCCGGTCGACAAAAGACCAAATAAAAACTGGTCTACGTTGTGGCACAGCTGGTCTAACACAATTTGGTGAACGTGATCGAGGCGCAGAAAGACAGATTCTGATCTCTCGATGTCCTTATATTTCACTCATAAAAATTTGACAAGAGCATGCATCGATCCCTCTAAATCAGGGGTGTCAAACTCATTTTTGTCACGGGCTACATTGTAGTCACAGTTTCCCTCGGAGGGTCATTATGACTGTGAAATACATGTTTGACCACCTCCTCCTATTATTACATATACAGTACACAATTAATAGATAACTAATTTTGAAATCAAAAGTCAAGGAGAGTAGTTTGTCCATAGCACGCTGCTCTCTGCTGTGCGCACTTGAGCGGGAGCACGTACGCACGTGGTTAAACCAATCAGCGCCGACGCAACCCACATCACAGATCAAAGAAGCTTTGAGCAAATGACAACAGCTAAGATAGCTTAGCTGTTGAGTGGCATTGCTACAGAACGATCATATGTCAGTAAAACTTATTTAATAAAGCAGTGACACAGTTCACTTAATCAACAGCATATTATAACATTGACTCGTTAACATTGAACTCTCTTGCTGCTGCTCTATTTCCGTGTTCAACTGTGTAACCCGATCGCCTTAAGTTTGAACTCTGAGTTGAAAGCATGTCTCTCGCAAGGAGCCATTTTGGGGTCGACATATTACTGTAATAATCATACACAAGGTGCATCGGATTTTAAGGTGCGCTGTGAGCGTTTAAGAAAATGGAAGGCTTTTATGTGTGCCTTTTAGTGCAGAAAATACGGTAATGCAAAACAAGAAAATGCTTGCAATAGCTCAACATGATTATATATTGCACATGATAGTTTGAAATTTTGGTACAGATTTTAGCAAGTGTCATGGAAGTTGGCCCGGTTGATTTGCTTTCGCGAGCCACATAAAATGATGTGGTGTACCAGATCTGGCCCCCGGGCCTTGAGTTTGACACCTGTGCTCTACATCACAGTAAAAGTCAATTCATCATCAGCTGTTGAACTGTCAACCAAGACATTATTTAACAGCCAACACAACCACCGATTACCAGATTGATGTTCAAACTATTTTTGTAGTGTAGTCATCCCCACGCACAAATACTTGCGAGACACACGGCACGTGTTTCTGTCAGTCATCTGTAAAACGGGAGTCCATCATGATGGATTGAGAAAGTTTGTCACCACTGACTCGGTTAGTGGCGAATCCACTTCCGTCAATGCTTCGTCTGTCACTGTCACGTCGCGTACAAGGCAGGGAAAAGAACTGCTTCATACGCAACAGTGCGAACGAGAATAAGTGGAACCCGAAGTAGCAGACACTGACAAGGCTATTGTCTCAAAATAATATTCATTACAAACGAAAAAACTCCGTCTAATGGAAAACAGAAAACGCTGGTCAAAACGAGAACCAGGATATAATGAAATGCGAAAAACAAAACGCTTGCGAAAAAAGGGCAAGGAAAAGGATAAGACAATTTACTAGGATAAGTATATTTTCAGACTAATCCCCAATGGGATGACGAACGAGTAACA